GGGGAGGGAAAAAAACGAGATCACAGATGTACCACCCAGTTTAAGAAAGGAAAAATTTTTTTAAACAAAATAAAAATAAAAGAGACCAGAAAAAACTCTTTCCCCTCTTTCTGGATGGGAGGACACAAGAAGGTAGCCGTCTCCAAGCCGAGAAGAGAGCCCTCACTAGAACCCAAACATATGGGAGCCCGATCTTGAACTTCAAGCCTCCAGAACTATGAGAAATATGTTTCTGTTTTTATAAGCCACCCAGTCTGTGGTACATGCTATAGCAGCCTGAACTAAGACACCCAGCTAGGGTTAAAGTGACTGATCTCCTGAAGTTCCTCAGAATAAGTGGGGAGGCAGTCCCTGACCTATTGGCAGAGGCCTTGCACTGGTCCCTTCTGTATTTCAGTGAATCTTTAACACTTTTTTTTTTTTTGAGACGGAGTTTCACTCTTTTTGCCCAGGCTGGAGTGCAATGGCGTGATCTCAACTCACCTCAACCTCTGCCTCCCAGGTTCAAGTGATTCTCCTGCCTCAGCCTCCCGAGTAGCTGGGATTACAGGCACGCGCCACCAAACCTGGCTAATTTTATATTTTTAGTAGAGACGGGGTTTCTCCATGTTGGTCAGGCTGGTCTCGAACTCCCGACCTCAGGTGATCTGTCCGCCTCAGCCACCCAAAGTGCTGGGATTACAGGTGTGGGTCACCACACCTGGCCCTGAATCTTTAATACTTTTGTAGCAAAATTTTCCTTTATTGTTTTCTCGGACTACATACTCATGACTACTGTTATTTTTTACTATCATTAGTTTCTAACAAGTAAATATCTTAAAATGTTCTTATTTAAAGTTTCTGGGTGGGTGAATTATTATTAATTAATTTGTTTATTTATGAAAGAGTCTTGCTCTGTTGCCCAGGCTAGAGTGCAGTGGTGCAAACATAGCTCATCACAGCCTCAAACTCCCAGGCTCAACCAGTTCTCACGCCTCAGCCTCCTGAGTAGCTGGGACTATAGGTGCATGCCATCATGCCTGGCTGAAACACTCAATTAACTTATTTATTTATTTATTTTGAGACAGAGTCTCACTTTGTCATCCAGGCTGGAGTGCAGTGTCACAATCTTGGCTCAGTGCAACCTCCGTCTCCCAGGTTCAAGAGATTCTCATGCCTCAGCCTCCCAACTAGCTGGGATTACAGGTGCCCGCCACCATGCCCAGCCTAATTCTTATATTTTTAGTAGAGACGGGGTTTCACCATGTTGACCAGGCTGGTCTCGAACTCCTGGCCTCATGTGATCTGCCCACTTTGGCCTCTCAAAATGCTGGGATTACAGGTGTGAGTTATTGCGCCCAGTCTGAAACATTCGTTTTAAAAGAGACTTTTGTATTAACCTTAGAGTCATTAGAATGTGTAAACATATTACTGATTAAAATGTAATCATTTTAGTTTAACTGATTTAACAGCTTGTTTTAGGCAAAAAAATTAAAAAATAAGAAGGGGGAGCAAGAAGAAGGAAAAAAGAGAAAAAGTGGAAGAACAAGGGGAAGAATTAAGTGAAAGGAAGGACTAATCTCCCAGTCCTCCCTATTGATAGCAGTGCCTCCCAGAGGGTGGCCCGCCATCGGCTGCATCAGATATGCTGGGGATACTTAAAAATATAAGTAACTGAGGCCGGGCTCAGTGGCTCACACCTGTAATCCCAGCACTTTGAAAGGCCAAGGTGGGAGGATCTTGAGCTCAGGAGTTCAAGGCCAGCCTGAGCAACACAGTGAGACCTCATCCCTACTAAAATTAAAAAAAAAAATTAGCCAGGCATGATGGCACATGCCTGTATTCCCAGCTACTTGTGGGGCTGAGGTGGGAGGATTGCTTGAACCCAGGAAGTTGAGGCTGTAGTGAGCCCTCAACTGTACCACTGTACTCCAGCCTGGGTGACAGAGTAAGACCTTATCTTTAAGCAGGGGAGGGGGGTGGAAGTAGGTAACTGATCCCCATCTACAGAATCGGCATTTGGGAGTGGAATCCAAGGATCTGTTATCAAGTTACCCTAGTAATTCTGAGAAGCACTAAAGTTTGAGAACTACCCTTAAGGGAAGTGACTAATTCGCTCATGAAAGTGACACCAAACCCTACCGTCTACTTAGAGCAGCTCACCCCATCCTAAACCGAGGCAAATATCCTAGCAGCTGGCACAAAGCTTCCCAGATTCGAAACCTCCCCAATCTAAACCTGTTAAGGAAAGCAGAGCATCTCGATTGCACAGAGATTGATGTAACAATACTTTCCAAAATTAAATGATTGAGAAGTATCCATTGGAATAGCATTTCACCTTGACCGTTATTGGGCATCATGATCATATGAGCTGACATTTACTGAGCGCTTACTATATGTCAAATATTGGGTTAATTGCTTTACATTTATTCATCTCATTTCATCCTTAGAGCAAAACTCTGTCGTGGGTGCTATTCTTTATCTCCGCTTTAGAAATGAGGGTAGCAGGCTGGGCGCAGTGGCTCACACCTGTAATCCCAGCACTTTGGGAGGCTGAGGCAGGTGGATCACCTGAGGTCAGGAGTTTGAGACCAGCCTGGCCAACGTGGCGAAATCCCGTCTCTACTAAAAATACAAAAAATTATCCAAGAGTGGTGGTGGGTGCCTGTAATCCCAGCTACTCAGGAGGCTGAGACAGGACAATTGCTTGAACCCAGGAGGTGGAGGTTGCAGTGAGCCAAGATCATATCATGGCACTCCAGCCTGGGTGACAGCGAGAGCGAGAGCACAGAAGGAAGGAGAAAAGAAAGAAAGATGGGAAAAGAAAAGAAAAGAAAAATGAAAATAAATGAGGGGAGGGTAGCAGAGAAAGATAACTGAGAATGACAAGGAGTTGAGAATCCAGGTGGGCTACAGGATGCCAAGCAGAGCAGGGCCTTATGGCCCCAGGAGACCTTGTTCCAGTTGGGTTCTTTCCTAACCCACAAACCCACCAACAGCGGCGTAGCCTCTGGGACAAATATCCACAAACGCCCAGGGAAAATGTTCCAGGTGGTCAAGAACTCAATTCCTAATGAAAGCTTGGGAAATGAACTATGCCTCAGTTCAGTCATCCAGAAATAGGGTTAATGTTTTACTACTGGCAGGGCGCAGTGGCTCACACCTGTAATCCCAACACTTTGGAAGGACAAGGCAGGAAGATGGCCTAAACCCAGGAGTTGGAGACCAGCCTGAGCAACATAGTGAGACTCCATCTCTAAAAATAAATAAATAGGCGTGGTGGTGCATGCCTGTAGTCCCAGCTACTGGGGAGGCTCAGGTGGGAGGATCCCTTGGGCCTGGGGGGATTGAGGCTGCAGTGAGCCATGACTGTGCCACTACACTCCAGCCTGGGCAACAAAGCGAGACCCTGTCTCTGGGAAAAAAAAAAAAAACAAAGGACAGCTTTTTTTCATCACTAGGTTCTTTTCTGATACACGATGAAGTAAGTACTAAGGAATTTTGAAAAGCAAAAGCACCAGACAAAAGGCATCCCAATTTTTCTTTAAGACAGGTGGGGATTAGCTTGGTTTCTCAGATATTAAAAAAAAGAAAAAGTGAAAAAGACAGGTGGGGAAAACATTCCCAAGATAGTTTTTAAAAATTCGTGGTAGCAAAATCCTTGTGTTAAATGGTAGGAAATACAGGTTAACGTCTACTCAGCCCATCCCAACTCCCGTTCTCTGCAATTTTGCCTCTGCCAGCTGCATTTATATGTAACCGGGACTGTGGGCCACAACTGAGTTAGCTCAAGCATGGACAACTGCCGAGACCTGGACCAGTGGGGGTCTCTGTCTCGGGATTCAGAGAGAACTAATCAGCGTCTTCCGGAGGCCAGAGCGAAGGGTGTGTGTCTGGGATTTGTGGAGCTGCCATAGGCAGCGGCAAGCACAGCACCCTGGTTCTCAGGAATAAGGAAAGCCTGCATGCTTAGGTGGAAACGAGTGACCACAGGCACTAGACAGAGAAAGAGGACAGAGCCTGGGCCCCTGTCAGTGCCCCTACTCCCAGACCGGGCTCGGACTCATTCCTGCCCTTTTTTGCTACAGCCAGGACATGTGGATTTCTGTTTTTTTTTTTTTTTTTTTTGAGATAGAGTCTCACTCTCGCCCAGCCTAGAGTGCAGTGACGCAACCTCAGCTCACTGAAACCTCTACCTCCCGGGTTCCAGTGATTCTTGTGCCTCAGCCTCCTGAGTAGCTGGGACTACAGGCGAGCACCACCATGCCCAGCTAATTTTTGTATTTTTAGTAGAGATAGGGTTTCACCATGTTGCCCAGACTGGAACTCCTGACCTCAGGTGATCCACCCACCTTGGCCTCCGAAAGTGCTGAGATTACAGGCATGAGCCACCGCGCCCAGGCTGGATTTCTGATTTTTGCAGCCAAAAAAAAAAAAAAAAAAAAAAAGGACTGACATGTGCAAAGCAGCAAGCTCCACAGCCCTCTGAGGAACCACGACCCCAAGGGTCGCCATACCTGCCTCTGTTGTTTCTTCTGAAACAAGGCTCCATCCATGGCTCCACGTCACCTTGGGATTTTATCCCAGCCTAAGCCTGGCTCACCTGTGCCCCAGTACCACCTCCCTGCACCTCAGCTGAACCTGCCCGCACTCGGGCTCTGTTTTACAGTTGCCACCTGGACAACGGACCAGACAACCATTCTAACTCAGGGTTAGAGCCCACTGTCATTCAACTGCCCAGGCTCCTCGTGTTGACCATTGTTTTCCATCTTCCCCCCATTTTAAAACGGAGCAAACCCTGAATGCAATGCAATGCATACTACTGACTGGAAGCCTGAAAGCCTGGTAGCAGATTTAGCCTCTTTCTACCTAAATCCACCAAACAGCAGGGAAACGGCACCTCGGAAAAACTCATGAAGTCCACAGAAATCCTCCGTTCTGCCCTTAATCTGAAGGGCCCTGGGGTTCCTCTTTCCCCACCCCTCTCAGACTCTCTCCCACTGCAGAGTCCTCAGCCGTACCTGGGATATAAATGGCGCCACCATTGCACCAATGCGACACAGGGAGCCGCTGATTCCCATCCCCAAAGCACGCATAGTGGTGGGGTAGACCTGCAGGGAGAGGCATAGAAAGTACCAGTCAGATAATGTCCGTCCTTCCCCGAGCCCTCCTCTTCCCCTTTCCTCCCCAGGTCAGGCTTTGGAATGCATCCATTACCAAACACAGTTACAGAATATGGAGCGGAAGGTGTTCATTTTCTCAGGTACACAACTTTGAATTTTTGGGACAATATCAGCAAAAAATAAAGACTTCAAAATTATCCTTTAAATGAGCAAATTCCAAAAATGTGTTTCACTGAATATTCCAAATATAATTTTAGAAAGACAAGCTCTGGAATCAGACAGAAGAGCGCCACTTCAGAACTATAAATATATAAAACTGATTCTACTGAATGGGAAGAAAATACTCCTCAAAGATCCGATGAAGTCTTCAATACAAATACAGCTAAGAGAATTAACCAGAGGGCCAGGTACTTGCCACACCATTCCCTGTGCTCTTATTTTTATTTCTTTTCTTTTTTAAAATTAGAGATGGGATCTTACTATGTTGGCCATACTGGTCTTGAACATCTGGCCTCAGCAATCCTCCCACCTCAACCTCCCAAAGTGCTGGGATTAGAGGCATGAGCTACCATACCTGGCCCCTGTGTTCTTGTTAAATTCCCTAGCCTCTTTGCTGTTGCAGAATCTTACAGCATTTCCCTCCCTCCCTCCCTCCCTCCCTCCCTTCCTCCCTTCCTTCCCTCCCTCCCTCCCTCCTTCCTCCCTTCCCTCCCTCCAGAGTCTCATCACTCTGTCACCCAGGCTGGAGCACAATGGTGCAATTTTGGCTCACTGCAACATCCACCTTCTGGGTTCAAGCGATTCACCTGCCTCAGCCTCCCAAGTAGCTGGGATTACAGGCGTGCACCACTGCGCCTGGCTAATTTTTGTATTTTTAGTTGGTCGGGAGGGGGTCTTTCCATGTTGGCCAGGCTGGTCTTGAACTCCTGACCTTAGGTGATCTGCCAGCCTCAGCCTCCCAAAGGGTTAGCATTACAGGCATGAGCCACCATGCCCAGCCCTTTTTAACATTTTATTAAATTTTTATTTTATAGAGACAATGTCTCGCTATGTTGCCCAGACTGGTATCAAACTCCTGGGCTCCAGCGATCTTCCTGCCTCAGCCTCCCAAAGTGCTGGGATTACAGGTATGAGCCTCCATGCCCAGCCATATTCTACTTTCTTGCTGCAACTTGTTGATATTTATAGTAAAATCTAATTGGTTTTTCATTGATTCAGAATTCTTAAAGGAACCGGAAGTTTAATAAGTCAGCAAGTCTTATTGAATAAATAGAATTGTAGGGAGAATACTTTCTAGGAAAGAATGGTTTCTCAAAATGTTGGAACATGTTCTTAGTGCTATAAAATACTGACAAAACAGGTTTATCAACTCTCTAAGGCAAAGCATGTAGCCCCCTTTAGTTGCCCACATCTTTGCCACCATCTGTCAAATGCAAAAAGCAAGATGCTTTCCGCCTCACAGGACACTGCTATATTTACAGGAGAAGGTCTGGGGGTGGAATATCTTTATGCGGAGCTTTCTTATTTTCTGAAAAATGAGGTTGCTATGACTGAAAATAATGAATTCAGGTGATGGCTTCTTTGCTGTAATACTGACAAAGTCTTTTGTTCACATTGTGAGTCACCTGGAAGATGGAATAACAGAAAACTATCATTTTTAGTTATACATCTTTTTTGAAAAACAATATAAAAAATAAAATACTGGCCGTCTGTGGTGGCTCACGCCTGTAATCCCAGCACTTTGGGAGGCCGAGGCGGGCGGATAATGAGGTCAGGAGATCAAGAAAGACCATCCTGGCTAACACAGTGAAACCCTGTCTCTACTGAAAATACAAAAAATTAGCCAGGTGTGGTGGTGGGCGCCTGTAGTCACAGCTACTCGGGAGGCTGAGGCAGGAGAATGGTGTGAACCTGGGATGTGGAGCTTGCAGTGAGCCGAGATCGCACCACTGCACTCCAGCCTGGGCAACAGAGCGAGACTCGGTCTCAAATAAATAAATAAATAAATAATAAATAAATAAATAAATAAAATACTTAGAAATGACCCTCAAAATGAGCAAATTCCAAAATATGTTTGACCGTCCATCTCAAATGCAATTCTAGAAGTATACCATGTTCCTCATAGATTTTTTTGGTTTATAAATTTACAAAAGAACTTTAGATTTGTTTTTGTTTTTAATTATGCAAACTTACTTTCTTAACTATGCAAAATTACTTAAAGTCAGTAATTTTTTTTTTCTTTCTTTTTGAGACTGAGTCTGTCACCAGGCTGGAGTGCAGTGGTGTGATTTCAACTCACTGCAACCTTTGCCTCCCAGGTTCACACAATTCTCCTGCCTCAGCCACCCAAGTAGCTGGGATTACAGGCACCCGCCACCATGCCTGGATAATTTTTGCATTTTTAATAGAGATGGAGTTTCACCATGTTGGCCAGGCTGGTCTCAAACTCCTGGTGTCAAGTGATCCACCTGCTTCAGCCTCCCAAAGTGCTGGGATTACAGGCATGAGCCACCGCACCCAATTAATTTTTATTCTAGGAATTTCATGTTGTAATTCCTTCCACTGTCCATCAAGTTCACCTTTGTTCCCCTACAGAGCTGGAGTAAAATTTATCGTCAAAAGATCTTCAAGTTAGCCCTTTTTAATAGAACTGATACTTAATCCAGTTGTCCTGTCAGCCCATAATTCTTTTATTTTGGCTTCTTTCATCTCCTTTTAATATGGATATACTGGTGAAGACTTCAAAATTCACCAAAAATCTTTGGGATCTAATTTCTTCAACCAATTTACTGTAGGGTCATTTTCAGAGTAGGTAGATCTGCCTCGTTCTCCATTTGATGCCCTCTGTGAATATGCGTGAGTTCAAATCATATTCATTCCTAAGCTATCACAGCTCAAGAAGAGTACAGACCTGTGGAATATGTCAATACCTTTAACCCCAGACATCACGTTCTCAAGATAAAAGCCTTTAAAACAAAAAGTCATCTTGATATATCAAGTCAACATGAAATTGGAATACAAAATGGATATAGCTGAGATTTTCCTCATATATTATGCTTTTAAACTCTCTATTTGATAGTCCTAGAACCAAACTTTTTTTTTTTTTTTTTTTTAATTTAGAGGCAGGGTCTAACTTTGCTGCCCAGGCTGGAGTACAGTGGTGCTATCAGAACTCACTGCAGCCTCCAACTCCTGGGCTCAAGCAATCCTCCTGCCTCAGCCTCCCTTTCCTAAGTAGCTACAATTACAGGTGCATGCCCCTACCCCTGGCTACTTTTTAATTTTTGTGGAGATGGGGTTTTAGTTTCCTTGCCAGGCTGGTCTTGAACTCCTGGCTTCAAGTGATTATCCCACCTCAGCCTCCCAAATTCAGGGATTGCAGGCATGAGCCACTGCGCCCAGCCTGGAACCAACCTTTATGGTTATCAATACTCCAATCATTTTAAGTGTCTCAGGTATCATAATACCCCTTCTTATTTATAGTAAAACTTATACTGAAAAATGAGTTCCGGATTGCAAAAGAGGATTGATTTTTTTGTACCTGTCTATAAGTCAACTTTAGATTTTGTTCATGGAACTAAATGAAGTATTATGTATAACTCGAACATCTCATAGCTTTCTATTTTTATCTCTGTGTGGGAGAAAAAGTACTTTTCTCTGCGGGTTTAATGGTTTTTGACATGCCAAATCTTTAATCGCAATAGACTTCCCCATTTCCTGCCATGAAGCTGAAGGCAGCTGTATCAGTGTCTAAAGCACTGTTTCCTGTAGCTCAATGAACGACAAAACCAGTTAAAATACTGTTAAGTTCCCTATTCAAATATTGTTTTATTTCCAGGAATATAGGTTCTTTAAAGTGGGAGGTTTCTGAGGAAAACTCCAGCTACCTCAGGCAGTACCTTGCACATAGATGTATTAATTCAATAACTTAATACAGAATAAATCAAGATTATATTCAGATTTAAGCTACATGCAGCAAATAACAGATGGAGGGAAAGGGATCTTCCAAAAGAATAAAAGTGAAAAATGTATTCTAATTTCAAAAAGAGAGAAAGGAAGTTCTACATTTGACAGCAACGTGTTGCTACCTATTACTTCTGGGAGCCTAGTGCCAGGGCAAGGAGGTGGTTTTTCCATGCAAGCTATTTAAAGAAAGGAGGAAGATCCTGTCTTCCAGAGATTGGCTTTCAATAGACTGAACGGGGAAGGGGAAATTCACACCAAATAAACTTCTGGTGTCTTTTTAACAGATTGTTTTTAGAAAATCATCAAAAGTCAACAGAAACCAGGGATACATTACCTTTGGATGGACACCCTAAGTAGCTCACCTTAGACACCCTGTTGTAAGCAAGCCCTGCATGAAAACTCACCTCAGCTGTGTAAATGTAGATAGTGTTGAAGTTTGCAGCTACCAGGGCCCTCAGCATGAAGAGGAAGCCAATCAGGCCGGCACTACAAAACAGGAAGCGGAGAGAAATGATAAAAGGCAGCATGGAGGACCACCTCCCATGGCCCAGTTCCAAGTGCACTGTGGATGATAAGACACACCCACAGATAACTCAGAAACCGAGGGAGGTGCTGCTTCTCAGCTGGCCTGATTGTGGGGTCCTTAAGCAAACCTCCTTCCAATCTTACTCCCCCCGCTGCCCTCTCCTTTCCCCAGTGCTGCCATTCGGCCTGGCCCCTCACGTTAGCACACCTGCTGGGCACGGTGGTTCACACCTGTAATCCCTGCACTTTGGGAGGCCGAGAGAGTTAGATCACTTGAGGCCAGGAGTTCAAGACTAGCCTCAGCAACATAGTAAGACTTTTTCTTTTCTTTTTTTTTTTTTTTTTTAAGACAGAGTCTGGCTCTGTTACCCAACCTGGGGTGCAGTGGCACGATCATGGCTCACTGCAGCCTCAGCCTCTCAGGCTCAAGTGATCCTCCCACCTCAGCCTCTTGGGTAGCTGGGACTACAGGCATCAACAACCACACTCGGCTAATTTTTGTATTTTTTGTAGAGATGGGGTTTTGCCATGTTGTCCAAGCTGATCTTGAACTCCTGGGCTCAAGTGATCTACCCGCCTCAGTCTCCCAAAGTTCTGGGATTACTGGTATGAGCCACCAAATTTTTTTTTCAATTGACCCAGCATGGTGGTGTGTGCCTGTAATCCTAGCTACTCAAGAGGCTGAGGCAGGAGGATGGCTTGAGCCCAGGAGTTAGAGGATGCAGTGAGCAGAGATCGCATTACTGCATTCCAGCCTGGGTGACAAGGTGAGAGACTCTGTCTCAAAGAATAAAAAAAAAAAATTAGCACACCTGCTGCTACCATCCCCTGGAAAACAGTGCAGAGAACTTGTAGAATGAATGATACATATCAGAGCTCAGGTCACTCCAGGACTGCAAATTAAGAGTGAAATGAGCAGAAGGCTCAAATAAGCACACTGTTTGTATTACTAAACTTTCTTGGCACTGGTTCAAATAATGTGATAAACAACCAGTGCCCCGATTCTCCAGGAAGCATTACATAACGATCCTCAATGTTTTGGTAGGTAAAGTGAGTACACCATCAATGGCACCCATAATCCTGTGATAGCTGGAGGAAGATGGGGTCTGTAGGAAGAGGGAAGGGGGTAGTAGGGAACAGGCAAGACCATTCTAGTCAAACAAGCAGCCCACTCTCCACTCTCCTGGGTGAAAGGGACTTGTCCGTGAAACTACTGAACACCATGGGTCAGGAGACTCCATTTAGAAACCACTGCAAAAAACCTGAAGCAACTAACCAGAAAATACCTTGAAGTGCAAATGTTGAGGAGAAGGAAGAATAAAGCCGTGCATCCCATGGTAATGGAAAGGCTCAGCCGTCTTCCCAGGAAATTGATGCCCAGGATATTTAAAGGATTCACTAGAAAGCAAACAGTAAAGATAATTTCTGGAACCTTGGAAGGCAAGTGGCATATTGCAACACTGGCATGGATTCATTCTTGTCGTTTCAGAAAGAAGCAACATCATCCAAACCTCATGAGTATTCCAGCCAAAATCCAGTCACGTTGTCATCAATTTCAAGACTTTTTACATATACTTTACCCACGTGGGTCCAGGAAATATAAGCACTGGTGCCCAGGATATTTATTATATCATGCAGGTCTATTGTAGATTGCCAACTTGCCAGGCCTATATTTTAAGTGTTTTCTATGTTTTCATCAAATTCAAGGTGCCTTTGATTTTTTTTTCATCGGCTCAATTTAATATTCAGCCACTGATTTTTAAGTACCATCATTTTATGTCTACTAAAATAGAAATAATGCTGTCAATTGCAATCTAACAAGCCATTGTAAGCCACATTCCAATTTCAGAGATGTTAAAATGTAAGGGCGAAAAAAACACCTTACAATTGATAGAATACAGCACTTCAAAGCTCTACTCCTCCAGACTTCTCTTGCCAACACCAATCCAAATTGGAGATTTTTCAGCACTACTTTGTGACTTACTCAGTTCTGCTAGGCAGGAGCAGCATCACAGCATCACACTTCTCTCAGCTAAGACTCAAGTGCACATACACCACCCAAGACAGAGACCCGACATGCAGAGGGACACTTACGAGCAATTTCACCGATGGTGCTGATGATCATGGTCCGATAGTCAGAGGGTGCAAACATGTGGCAGTAGCAGGGGCTCTGGCTCTCCCCTGAGTCGCCCCCAGTCACCACCACCTCAGAGTCTGCCTTTGAACCACAGACCAGGTCCCGCTCCAGCAGCTCAGCACTGGCCAGGATAACCCCATAGTAGGCAAAAGAGATTCCGAGCCTGGAAGTGAGAAAAGAATGTCACTAGCAAACGCTGAGACCAGACCTGAAGGATGAGTGGGGAGGGGATACCAAGTGGAACGTGCAGCATGTGGAAAGCAAAGAGAGCAGAAAGTCAGGTTCAGATGCCACACAGAGCATTTGTGGAAGTATCTCTTACACATCATACAGATGTACACATGCCTGTTGGGTGTAAACCTAGGAGCGGAATTGCTGGGCCATAGTATACACATACTTCCAGCTGTAATAGAGACCTCCAGTTTTTCAAAGTGGCTGTACTAATTTGAACTCCAGTCAGCTGTGTATGAAAATTCCAGTTACAGCCACGTGCGGTGGCTCACACCTGTAATCCCAGCACTTTGGGAGGCTGAGGTGGGTGGATCACAAGGTCAGGAGATCGAGACCATCCTGGCTAACACAGTGAAACCCTGTCTCTACTAAAAATACAAAAAATAAGCCGGGTATGGTGGCGGGCGCCTGTAGTCGCAGCTACTCCAGAGGCTGAGGCAGGAGAATGGCGTGAACCCAGGAGGCGGAGTTTGCAGTGAGCCGAGATCGCGCCACTGCACTCCAACCTGGGAAACAGCGAGACTCCGTCTCAAAAAAAAAAAAAAAAGAAAAAAAAGAAAATTCAAGTTACTTTGCCTCCTTCTCAACCCTTGGTATTGTCAGTTTTTCATTTTAGCCATTCTCTTGCACTGGCAGATTTGTAATGGTATCTTGTTGGGTTTTAATTTGCATTTCCCTGGCGACTTTAAGGTTGAGCATGTTTTGATGTGTTTATCTAGTATACGTTTTTGGTGAAGTGCCTGTTCAAGTCTCTTGCCTATTTCTAAATTAGGCTGTTGGCCGGGCATGGTGGCTCATGCCTGTCATCCCAGCACTTTGGGAGGTTAAGGCAGGAAGACTGCTTGAGGCCAGGAGTTTCAGACCAGCCTGGGCAACAAAGCAAGACCCATTCTACAAAAGCAAAGTAAAATAAATTTTAAAACTTAAAAAATTTTAAAAAACTTAAACCGAGTTGTCTATTTTTTCCTGTTAAAAAAAATTATATGTCTAATATATAGCATATTTTATATATATGTGTGTGTGCGCGCACGTGTGTGTATATATATATATATAATTTGCTGGAAATATACATTGCAAATTTCTTCTTCCCATGGATGGCTTACCTTTCAGGCTCTTCATGATTTTTTTTTTTTTGAGGCAAAGTTTCATTCTGTCACCCAGGCTCGAGTGCAGTGGCACAATCTTGGCTCACTGCAACTTCCACCTCCTGGGTTCAAGCGATTCTCTTGCCTCGGCCTCCCAAGTAGCTGGGATTACAGGCACCCACCACCACACCCAGCTAATTTTTTTGCATTTTTAGTGGAAACAGGGTTTCTCCATGTTGGCCAGGCTGGTCTCGAACTCCTGACCTCAGGTGATCTGCCCGTCTCAGTCTCCCAAAGTGCTGGGATTACAGGCGTGAGCTACCACATCCAGCCTTCTTCATGATATCTTGACACTGTTCCTGAGTTCATAATTTAATGTATTAAAACTCATCAATCTTTTCCTTTATTGTTAGCATGTTTTCATCCTGTTTAGAAAATCTTTGCTTACTCAAGGTCATGCTGCAGAGAAATGAAACACGGAGGGTACCACAAGAGTCTGTGCCATTGGACTTAATGATTGGTGACTTCAAAGGACAAGTTTCTGTCATGTGGTGAGGAAAAAGACCAGGCTGCAAAAGTTAGGAAGTGAGCTCATATGCTCATAAGAAAAATTTTAAAATTGGTTGAAGACAATTAGGGATTTTTCCTCTATCTGTCTATGTATCTATTTACTTATTTAGTGGTAGTGGTGTTTGTAGAATGACAAGACATTGCTTGTCTTTGTAATATTTGGAGTTGGTCTTATGTTTTTCTCCCCAGTGGCACTCACATAGATTTACTTAAATAGGCTTCCTCCCAATGCCTCTATTTAAAACTAGTTTTGAAATAATTACACTCTTACCATATGACCCAGATCTGTAACGTGGTCCGTAAATATTTAGCATCCAATAGGTCTGCAAATCTTCCTCTTTTTTCCTGGGGTAATAATGAAAAGAGGGAGACAGAATACACTCAGCAGGTTAAGGATGAACGAAAGTTTCCACTGTTTTCGATCACAGAAGATGAGAATCATATTGGAGCATGGTGGCCTGGGATAACCACTCAGCTCCTATGAATACAGCTGACACAAACCCAGAGATAATTGCTTTAAACACATCTGTCTCAGCCAGATCTGTCTTTTGGCTTTTTCTTATCACTGACAATTACCAAAGTTCACTGAACTTAAGATCCTAACCTTTTGCTCTTCCTCTGCTCACCAGCACTGGTGCGGGGGTGGGGAGGGTAGGAGGACACATGCAAAGTAACTGTGAAACTGATGAGAGATTCTTCTAAAATTAGCATTAAAACGAAAACTCTTATATTAAAAGAATATGAGACTTGTTAAGAAAACAACGGCATCAAGTTGAAAAAGGACAGAATGCCTAATTTCTTTTTCTGTCTTTAAGGGGTGTAGTTAGCAAAAGTTCTTGTCCATAGTACCTATTCAATACCTTTGGATAAAAACAAGTAACAATGGGCTGGGTGTGGTGGCTCACGCCTGTAATCCTAGCACTTTGGGAGGCCAAGGCAGGTGGATCACCTGAGGTCGGGAGCTCAATACCAGCCTGACCAACATGGCGAAAGCCCATCTCTACTAAAAAGACAAAAATTAGCCGGGCGTGGTGGAGCATGCCTGTAATCCCAGCTACTTGGGAGGCTGAGGCAGGAGAATCGCTTGAACCCAGGAGGCGGAGGTAGCAGAGAGCCGAGATCACGCCATTGCACTCCAGCCTGGGCAACAAGAGTGAAACTCCGTCTCAAAAAAAGAAAAAAAAAAAAAAAGAGGAAGAGTTACCTGATGGCACAGTAATCGATTTTTATGTAAAGCTAGGAATGCTTCAGATGAGGGCACGCCATTGAAAACCAACAGCTCTTTTCTCAGAAAGAGACCTGGGATTACAGGCTCTTTCTAGAGACACCGGGAATGTGGTCCTTTGGTGCCCCAGATTTTGTTATCACAGAAAGTTAGAGTTTGAAGGTAACTTAGAGGCCTTTTGCTCCAATGGTTAATTTTTAATTTTTGTGGGGCACATAGTAGGTATGTCTATTTATGGGGTACATGAGCTGTTTCGATACAGCTCATGAAATAAGCACATCATGGAAAATGGGGTACCCATCCCCTCAAGCATCTATCCTTCAAGTTACAAACAACCCAATTATGTACCTCAAGTTATTCTAAAATGTACAATTATTATTAACTATACTCACTGTTTTGCTATCAAATAGTAAGTCTTATTCTATTTTTTCTGGCACACATTAACCATCCCCACCTCCCCTTATGCTTCCACTACTCTTCCCAATCTGACCAAGGCCTGTCGCGCATTCCCGCATCTGGTCTCAGCGCATATCTCCTGGGGCCTGCAGTGCCCTCTCCCCTCCCCAAAGGCTTTTTTCCTTTTTTTTTTCTTTGAGGAGTCTCACTCTGTCACCTGGGCTGGAGTGCAGTGGCGTGATCTTGGCTCACTGCAACCTCCGCCTCCCAAGTTCAAGCGATTCTTGTGCTTCGGTTTCCTGAGTAGCTGGGACTACAGGTGTGCACAAAATTGCCCAGCTAATTTTTGTAATTTTAGTAGAGACGGAGTTTTACCATGTTGCCCAGGCTGGTGTTGAACTCCTGACTTCAGGTGATCCACCTGCCTTGGCTTCCCAAAGTGCTTAGATTACAGGCATGAGCCACCACGCCTGGCAGGCTCACTCTCCTTTTAGTGTTGTTTATGTCCCATTTATCCCCGGAAGAGGCTCAGACTGCCATGGCTCAGTCCCTTCTGCTCTGATCACACACACACACCTACACCCCACCTGGTTCTAAGCATCTGGGCTCTGTTATTTATTCCTTCATATGTGATGCTCATTTCATTAACCAGATTGTAAGATTGTGACCAGACCAAAGGCAGGGTCTACTGCCAGTAGCTCTGGGCCTTGCTCAAGAGATGACTGTGGAGGGCCGGACGCGGTGGTTCACACCTGTGATCCCAGCACTTTGGGAGGCCAAGACAGGTAGATCACCTGAGGTCAGGGGTTCAAGACCAGCCTGGCCAACATGGTAAAACCCCATCTCTACTAAAAATACAAAAAATTTAGCCAGGTGTGATGGCATGCACCTGTAATCCCAGCTGCTCGGGAGGCTGGGGCAGGAGAATCGCTTGAACACGGGAGGTGGAGGTTGCAGTGAACCGGGATCACACCACTGCCCTCCAGCCTGGGTGACAACAGCAAGACTCCATCTCAAAAAAAACAGATGACTGTGAAAAAGATCACTTAATGGGCATGACAGATGGAGGCCACAAGCTGAAGGCTTAAGAAAAGTGGAGAGGAGGAGGAAGTGGGGACAGAAGGATGGAAGAGGGAAGGTGAAGAATGGGGGATGGAGAAGGTGGAGGGAGAGGTGAGGTAGGAGAGGAAAAGCAAAGGAAGTAGGATGTGGAGGGAGGAGGCCAGACAGAGGAGCCAGGGGTGGAAAGGAAGAATGGAGAATGTGCAGGGAAGATGGGAGATAGGGGATTGTGGAGGGAGGATGGCGGAGGGAGGAAAAAGGAGGAGGAAAGAGGAGAGATAACTTATTTCTGACCTCAGTGCTCTTCAGTCTTAGAGTTCCAACTACTGCATTCAGTTCACAAAGCACATGCCAAAAACAGTTGTACTCAGCTATCTTATAATGTTACAGCTATCCGTGGTTTTGAGTTAATTATCTCTGCTAAGATTTTTTCTTTTTGCAACTATTTTTATTGTTTACACTATTGACAATCAGAATTTTACAGCCACCTAAAGATTATGTTCCAGTCTCTATAAACCATAATAGCTTCCTTCTTTTAATCATAGTTGCCTAGCAACTAGTTCATCCTCCCACCCTGCTTTGCTGGGTAAGAGGTGATTGTCAGTATCTCGGTAGGAAGGAAGAAGGGAGCTGACGCTGTAATAGTAGCTTTCTGAACTCCAAACCCATGAGAGTGTATTTCCAATATTTAAAAATAAACTAGTATGATGGAATCATTCTGAATCCTTTGGAAGAAAATTGGGGTTTCTTGTTTAATATGGTTTGGTTATTTGTCCCCTCCAAGTCTCAAGTTGAAATGTGTTCCCCAGTGTCGGGGTGGAGCCTTATGGGAGGTATTTTGGTCATGGGGGCGGATCCCTCATGAAGGGCTTGGTGCTCTCCCTGCAGGAATGAGTGAGTTCTCACTCTACCGGTTCAGGCGACAGCTGGTTTAAAGGAGCCTCGCACCTCTCTTGCTCCCTCTCTCACCATGGAACGTGCCTGCTCCCTGTTCACTCTCTGTCATGAGTAGAGGCTTCCTGAGGTCTCACCAGAAGCCCTGCAGAGGCTGGTGCCATGCTTATACAGTCTGCAGAACCATGAGCCAAATAAACCTCTTTTAACAGTCACCCAGTCTCAGGTATTCCTTTATAGCAATGCAAAACGAACAGACGCCCTGCTCCAGGATTATAATAGGTTTTGAGATACATATAATAACGGGGGCAACACTCCACAGAAGCAAGTGAGAATACCTTACCAAAATACAATGATGAATATGGGGAAGGTTTGGCATACCGAATGCTCACGATATTTGCATTACTATAGAGCACACGCCACCTCACTCTTAAAATGCAGGCCAGATGGTAGTGGGATTCAAGACTTTTGTCATCAGTGATGTCCTCGGCAACCAATCAGGAACACCCAGGGCAGCCCACCTCTTGCCTGTGTGTAGGACACTCGGACATCACTTGTCCCATGGTGGCTACAGGATCCTGAGAATGCAAAGATTCAGGGCGTGGGTAGCACTGCTGGTATGGACCCATCTCAGACACAGAGCATGAGCTGAGGGCAGAAGAGCCTTTCCCATGGTCCTGCCTGCCCCAGCAAGGTTGTGCACCAGCAGCTTTTCTCTGTACCTCCTGGTCTCCCTGTTATGCATTCATTCCCTGCCTTGGCGTTGATGCCATCTCATTCTGCCAGATGTCTAGTATCCTTGGATCCTGTCCTTCCTCATCCTATCAAAATCTGGGGTTCTGGTGCGGTGGCTCATACCTATTATCCCAGCACTTTGGGAGGCAGAGACGAGAGGACTCCTTGAGGCCAGGATTTGAGACCAGCCTAAGCAACATAGCAAGACCTCATCTCTATTAAAAAATAAGAAAATTAAGGCCAGGCACGGTGGCTCATATCTGTAATTCCAGCACTTTGGGAGGCCAAGGTGGGAGGATCAGTTGGGGCCAGAAATTTAAGACCAGCCTGGGCCAGTGAAACCCTTTTGCAACAAAATAATTAAAAAAAAAAATTAGCCAGGTGTGGTGGTATGCACCCATGGTCTCAGCTATTCAGGAGGCAGAGGCAAGAGGATCACTTGAGCTCAGCAGGTTGAGGCTGCAATGCGCCAAGGTCACACCATTGCACTCCAGCTTGGATGACAGAACAAGACCCTGTCTTTTAAAAAAACAAGTAAATAAAAATGAAAAAATTAGCCAGGCATGGTGGCACATGCCTGCAATTTCAACTACTTTGGAGGCTGAGGTGGGAGGATTGCTTGAGCCCAGGAGTTCAAGACCAGCCTGGGCAACATGTCAAAATCCTGTCTTTACAAAAAAATTGTACAAAAATAGCCAGGCGTGGTGGCACACTCCTATAGTTCTAGCTACTCAGGAGCTTAGGCAGGAGGATTGCTTGAGCCCAGGAGGTCAAGGCTGCAGTGAGCCAAGATCGCACCACTGCACTGCAGCCTGGGTGACAGAGCAAGATCCTGTCTCAGAAATTTTTTAAAAAAGTTAATACGGGCCAGGTGCAGTGGCTTATGCCTGTAATCCCAGCACTTTGGGAGGCCAAGGAAGGTGGATCACCTGAGGTCGGGAGTTTGAGACCAGCCTAACCAACGTGGAGAAACCCCGTCTCTACTAAAAACACAAAATTAGACGGGTGTGGTGGTGCATGCCTGTAATCCCAG